CATGTGGGTTTCAGAATTGTTAATGCCCTATGTGGCCACACTAGTTTTGAGGGCACTTAGGAAACATAGTTTTACTCTAGGTAGCAAGGTGTACAGCAAAAATTCAGATTCTACTACCACAGAAGCAGGGATGAGTGAATATTGGAGAGGCAGCTGGCCATTTCTACCATTTCCCACCATCTGTCCCAAACTCTTAGTTCCTCCCCATCTAAAACTCGACCTTTTTGAAATCACGGTGTGTCATTGGCCAAATCTGCATCCTCAACTTTTACTCTGAATGATTGTTTTACCTTGTTAGTCTAACCTAAATCTGGTTAAATCTAAGGAAATCTCCTCAAATCTAAGGAAACTGCTTTCCCCCTGGCCTCATCAAGTGGAGGCTGTTTTGCCTCCCAGAATCCTATATGTCAAAGGGCCTTGTTCTTCACTGATGTATCTGGACAATTGAGTCTCTTTCTCTTCCTCTTTAAAATTCCCTAGTCCCTTTAAAAGGAGTCCTACCAGATTAAACCATTCTTTATCCTGTCTTTTTGTAGTCAGCTGTAGGTCTCTTTTCTATTTTTCCTCATTCAATGAATATTTTAGCACCTGGCTAGCTGTCTTTATCCCCCCCCCCCCCACTATTATTATCATTATTCTCAGTGATTTAACATCCACAAATAAATCCATTCCTTTCCCTGGCCTCTTGGTTCCTTGATCTCATACACCCACTTTGACAGTCTTAACCTACTTTATCATTACCAATATCTACATTCTCTCCCCAAATCTGTTTTAAGCATCCCATTGTCTATGTATCTCCCCTTATTTTTCTCTGTTTTACTTCCTCTAGAATCTTTTTTTTTAAATGTTTATTTATCTTGAGCGGGGAAGGGGCTGAGAGAAAGGAGAGAGAGAGAATCCCAAGCAGGCTGTGTGCTGTCAGCGTAGAGCCTGATGTGGGGCTCTATCTCATGAACCATGAGGTCATGGCCTGAGCTGAAGTCAAGATTCTGGCACTTAACTGACTGAGCCACCCAGGTGCCCCACTTCCTCTTGAATATTAATGTTGACAATTCTTCAGAGTTTCGTAGGACTTCTAGACCATTGAAGCTACCACATTTTTATGTTCTAAGTTTTATCTTACACCGTGGTTTTGAATATGATCTTTGTGCTGATAACCCACAAACTAATATCTCATTGAGATCTCTAGCTCTGACCTCTCCCTTGACTCCAAACTTGGATATCCATTTTTCTCCTTGAATTCTCCATTTGGATGTATAATGGACACCTTGAACTTAACAAATTCAAGACAGAATTTTTGATATCCTCCTTCCAACCTGTTTCTCACTCCATCTTCCTCATCTCAGTAAATGGCAACTGCATTCTACCTGTTGAAACCTTAGAGTCATTATTTGGCTCTTCTTTCTCTTAAACCCAATACATCAACAAATCCTGTGGAATCGTCTTTCAAAATATTTTCAGAATGTGCCCACTTCATACCATTTGTGTCATTACTACCCTCCTCATTCAAGCCAGTTTGATTGCTCTTGTGGATTAGTGAAATCTTAACTGGCCTCTCTGCTTTCAGTCTTGCTCATCCTTGATCTTTTTTTTTTCATACCATCCATATTGCCACTTTAACAATGTAAGTCAGATCATATCACTTCTTTGCTCATAACCCTCTACTGGCTTCTCCATTCATTCAGAAGAAAAACCAAAGCTCTTATCGTGGTTTTCCAAGCCCTTTCATGATCTGTGTGTCCCTCCTCTTCGTTCCCAATTTCCTGCCACTCCCTTCACTCACTTGTGTCTTAGCCATACTGACTAATACTGGCTGTTGTGATCTGACTCAACCTTAAAAGCATTATAGGCTGCTGTACTTAGAAGAATTTGAAGTGGTAAGTGTAGGAGCAGGAAGATTAGTCTGGGTTTACTGCAGTAATGGATGTAGAAGATGATGATGGCTTTGGACTATGATGGAGGCACAGAGAAGTGACCAGATTTGGAGTATATTTTGGTAGCTGGACTATCAGGGTTTGCTGGGCATATTTTTTCCTTTTAAGTCCCATGAATGTTGACCCATACTGGACCAAAAGCAATTTATCAATGATCAATGATTTTTAGTAGCAAAGGCATAGTTGTTCCCATCTGCTTCCCATATAAAGTTGCAAAATAAATCAAGTTAGCTATCCTCTAGAGATTTTCTTACAATTATCTCCCCTACCCCAGCCACTCCCTCTCCCCAAATACTATTGACTGGTCAGATCCTTGGTGACCAGAAAAAAAAGCCTCAGTGCAGTCCTCAGACAGCTTTGCACTTCCCCAAATTGGCTATGCTTGAATACTACTTTTCCATTATTCCTCTCTCCAGTCTCACATCACAATGCACGTATCATGCAGATGATCTCAGCAGATGATCTCAGCTAAATAGGATGTATGGGGAAAATCTGTCTGAGCAAGGGAGAATCTTCCCAATGTTAGAATGCCACCCTCTGATTCCTTGGCACCACGTTTCTGAATGGTTGCAGATACCTTTCTTGTAAACACCATACTGCCTTTACTATTTATATGGGATTATAATATCTTTGGTAAGGAATTATTCTTAATTGTTATGAATTTCAGCAATTTGAGGTATTTTGATGTAGGATACATCATGTCTTTGCTAAAGATCTTTTAAGTGAGTGTAATTATATATTCAGATTGTATATATATTTTCTTATCTATTGCGTTGTCATTTCCAGAAGCAACTATTTCTCTGCCTTTATTCTTTTAAAATCCTTATAAGCTTGGCGAATTTGAATTATTGTGAAAAAGCAACATTTCGTAAATGTTTTTGCTCGTTTCCCCTGTAATTAGAGAAGTTCTGATGAAAGGGAGGAAGGAGTTTTGAGAAAAGTACAAAAGGTGCTCCTAAGGACCAAAAAGTAAGCTTGGAAAGAATGCCTAGGAGAAAGTGTGTTCTTGCTCTGGCTACTATACACAGATGCATACTTCTGAAGAACAGAAATCTCCCTAGGTGAACTAGCAGGAGGAGAAAGGTTTCTGACCCCAATAGCATATTAGTTGACCATAAAACTTCAGATTTTTTTCTGTTTTTTTTTTTAACAGTCCCTATTGCTACTCTCACCCCGACCTAGTCTAACAAATTTATGAGCAGAGTAAGTGAAAAAGGTGCTCTGAAATACAGCTGTATTTACTACCTTACGGATCTGAAAGTCTTCTTGGATTTGGGAGAATGAGAAATTATCTAAGGGAGGCCTACTGAATACTTAATCTATACTCAGCACCTCCTTTAATGTACTTAGCAGTAATTTTCTACTTGGTGAAGGGTGTTTTTTTTTTTCCTTTAAATACACTTTCATTTTTTTTCTTTTTAGGTTAGTGATATTACTCAGAATTCTGTCACTATAAATTAGACTCAGACAATTTAGCGTTTTCTTAGTTTATACCTTTTGTTTAGTTGGTTTTTTTTTTATTCCAGTATAGTTAACATACAGTGTTATATTAGTTTCAGGTGTACAGTATAGTGATTCAACAATTCTATACATTACTCAGTGCTCTTCATGGTAAGTGCACTCTTTAATCCCCATCACCTTTTTTACCCATCACCCCTCCCACCTCCCCTCTCATAATCATCAGTTTGTTCTTTATAGTTAAGACTCTGTTTCTTGGTTTCTCTCCCTCTCTCTCTCATTTTTTCCCCTTTGTTTTATTTCCCACGTTCCACATATGAGTAAGATCATATAGTATTTGTCTTCCTCTGACCAACTTGTTTTGCTTAGCATTATACTTTCAAGACCCATCCATGTTGCTGCAAATAGCAAGATTTCATTCTTTTATGACTGAATAGTGTTCCATTATATATACATATATGTCTCACTTCTTTTTTATCCTTTCATCTATCAATGGACACTTGGGCTCCTAACATAATTTAGCTATTATAAATAATGGTGCAATAAGCATAGGAGTACATATATCCTTTCAAATTAGTGTTTTTGTGTTTTTTGGGTAAATACCCAGTAGTGCGATTACTGGATTATAAGGTAATTCTTTTTTTAATTTTTTGAGGAAGCTCCATTTGATTTATATTGTTTGATGACATGGTTATTTGGGGGAGTATTACTCTTCTTTTTCCATATTTTTATTTGGCAATTATATTGTGGTTTTTATGTAACTTTTATAAGAGATTTATTACCTCTTCCTTAAATAACTCACTTATTTTTCACATTGCCACCATGGCAACCATAACTATTGGGCAGCGTATCTACCTCCAGTAGAATGTACACCTCAGATTGCGGTGCCTGGGTGGCTAAGTTGGTTAAGCTTCTGACTCTTGATTTCAGCTCAGGTGATGATCTCATGGTTTGTAAATTCGAGCCCCATGTTGGGCTCTGCACTGCCAGTGAGAAGCCTGCCTGGGATTCTGTCTCTCCCTCTCTCTCTGCCCCTCCCCTACTCGTGCTCATGCATGCAGGCGTGCGTGTGCGCTCTCTCTCTCTCTCTCAAAATAAGTAAATAAACTAAAAAAAAAACAAAAAAGAATGTACACTCAGATTAGACCACTAGGTTGTTGATGTCATAATATTTCCATGTGGGGTCCAGAATTAAGGCCATTAAAATTAAGGCCTTGATCCCTTGATCTGACCTTGGAAATTTATTCTAATGTATAAACCATTCAATAGGACCAATATTGATCTGCCATTAAGGGGTTTCCAGTTTACAGAGTCCTTTGATTTGGCCCCAGGACAGCATTTGGAAATTATTTACCTGGTCAGATTTAGTATGTTCAGGCAGGTTATAGAGGACCTCTGGAGTCCAACCCAAGGCTTCCAGTCACTCCTTGGCAGGGTTAGCACACTGACTAGTTTCTTCCTCTTTCCGTGTATTTGATGCCAACGGTATTAAAGGTGTTTCAGTGTCCTTAGAGTGCTAAGATGTTTTGTTTGCTTTTATTTTTTTGTGTACATGTGTTTGTTTTTAATGCACATTTTGTATTTTCCCTTCAACTTTTATTTTTACAGTGAATGCAATCAAGTGGCATTTTAAAATTCTGCTGAAAGTGGAGACATGAGACTGAAGATATCTCTTTTAAAAGAACCAAAACATATCCTTTTGATACTTACAAACCTTATTGTGATCATCTTACTAGAGTATTGTTAAAAGTTTTTTTTTCTATTTTATATTCTAAAGAGTGAATTTTTTAAAATTCTTTTTAATGGCAATTTAGCTACATTGTTTTTGAAATATTTGAGATCATGTTTTGCAGGTAATTTTCCAAAGCAAACTATTTGCTCTAAATCTTACTTTCAAATTCTTATTGACATTTTTCTTACCCTACTTAAGTACTAAGCTTAAGTACATAAAACACAGTTTTTGTTTAGTCTAGTAGGATCTTGAAGAGCAGCTTTTTTTAAAACCAAATAATTTCTTTGCTAGTGTGATCTCGTATGTTTTCATTGAGCTCTGCTCTGTTTCTTCATACTCATGATAAAGTGGAGGATAAGCTGGGGAAATCTGAGCAGTCAGACCTTTATTATTTCATGTGGGAAGGTAGCAATTATAAATATTTTCTCAAATGCATGACCCTATATTTTGTTAGTAAGAATACCTAAAAATGTGTCAAGAAAATATGACAGGCCTCTCTACCTTCATTCTTAGTTATTTATATCAGTGCTTCTATAAGAATCATCTGTAGACTTTATTGCAGGTCTGTGAAGGGACACGTACAGAAATTAGAAAGTAAGAGGTAAGAAATTTTTGTAGCAATTTGACATTGTCACAACACCCAAATATAAGATCATTTTTCTAATAATTTATTTATGTTTTATCTTACAAAATGTTTTACAATATATTTGAAATAGAGAAAAATGTGGTCCTTCATCAGAGATAGCAAAGGAGTGTTTGGACATTTGATCAAACTTTAAAAATTTATATTATCTTATTTTACCTTTAGAGTGAAGATATAATTCCCTTTGTTTTTCCTTAAATCATGTTTACTGTCTTTTCAAAATGTGCCTTCAGGAGTTTATGCTTTATACAATTTTACAGATTTTTGACTGTGTTCATTGTTTGCTTTTACCTTTTCAAGTTGAAGAATGATGAATTTCTAAACTTTCTGAATCTGTTAGTCCCCTCATTTCTCCCATACTCTTGAAGATACATCACACATGTCTGACATGTACTCACATCACTTTATATAAGGGTAAACTTAATGTTTTTTTGTTTTGGAATGGGTGTGTTGTGTGTGTGTGTGTGTGTGTATGTGCTCACACACACACACACACACACACACACACACACATATGTGTATTTTCTTCCTTTCTTGGTTTTACCTGACATTGTTTAGGCTATAGCAGTTGTATTGGGATACTTTTTTCAGTAATGATCTAGTGATATTCAGGTCCTTTTATTTAGATTATATTTTGAGTTCTGAATATTACAATGCCACATTATTACCTATTTGTACAAACTGTTAAACTCTTCGTATAATTTCTCTTTTACCTTTTTGGTTATTTTCTTAATCTGTCATTTTGAAGTATTAAAAAATCTTAGAATATTCCAGAATAATTATAGCACATTGTCTTTTTTTTTCCATTGGAGTTTATTGATTGCTCAGATAAGCCAATAAAAACCAGTAGTGAGAAGCGATGGAAGTAAAAGGATTATACAATAACAAGAGAAAAAACAACCCAACTAGGAATGATCTGGTAACACAGAAACCCAGATATAAGGAAGAGAAAGGTCCCTCGTAAATGATGAGCTGAAATGCCTTCCCTAGATACACAGTTCTGCCAGGGTAAGCAGCTTGTTCTAATGGAGGAAGAGAGGGCTAAACTTGAACACCTCAATTTGTAGAAATCCTTGTGATAAATCAGAGACTGAACAAATGGGTTATATAAGGTGGGAATTTTAGGGTTCATATCTATCTAGTGCTATGTACCATGTAGGTGCAGTAAATTATAATTGAATTGTTTCCTGAATTTAATGTAAAAAAATTTGGTAAGATTTTAGTTTTAGCAGTTAGGCTGTAGGTTTTTTCCTAGGTAAATTGTTATTATAATGTGTAAGTTAAGCAGGTATTTTACTGTTAGATTTCAGTCTTCAACCCTTGATTTTTTAAAACTTATCAAAATAATACATTTGTTCTAATAAATGATACAGATATATGTAAATTTAAAAATTATAGTTCCCTTTTCTTCTCACCTATCCCCCAACTGTTTAGTGTATATCCTTTCATACCTTTTGATCTGTTAGATGTCTTTGTGTATCATTTGGCCTTATTTATGGAATATTTCATACCACAATTTAAAATTTTTCATGTCACCAGATCTTTCTTTTTTTCCTCTTTTGGCATGCGGATTTCTTGCTTTCCATTCTTCTTACAACTGTTGTGGTAGATACTTATGTTCCTTTTTATGGAGAAAGTATGAAAGTCATGAAATGAAAATATATATAGAACCTTGAAACATTTGACCTTATTTTTTCTTATACTCTGCATCTCTGAATTATTTTATTAAGATTTAAGGCTTTTGTGTGTTTTATGTCTCCTTAACATGTCGACACATCAAGAATTAGTCAGCTGTGTGGGCTGGACTACTGCTGAAGAACTGTATTCATGTAGTGATGACCACCAGATAGTGAAGTGGAACTTGTTAACAAGTGAAACAAGTCAGATAGTAAAGCTTCCTGATGATATTTACCCAATAGATCTTCACTGGTTTCCAAAAAGTTTAGGCATAAAGAAGCAAACTCAAGCAGAAAGCTTTGTCCTTACAAGTTCTGATGGTAAGTTTTTGATAAATGTTATATGCTCATCTTTGTATTTAAAAGACATAATATCTTAGTATGACTTATGCTTTTAGTTGTTTTACAAAGCTGATATTTGTAGATCTGCATACCTTCATTTACACATTTAATCCATATTCTGTGAAGTCATTTGGTTTGTGTATAGGCTATAAAACTATTGTCATGAAAGGAAGTGAATTAAACTGGCATATCCTGGGATTTGATCTGAGCTTTCTTTTGCCTTTACTCTTTCTGTGATCTCACAGAAAATAATTGTTAAACTATTATAAGTTTTGGTTCCTAATTTCTTCAAGTTTAACTTTATAACATAACCACACTAAAAAAACATGGGCACAATGCAACATTTAGTAAGCTATTAAATATTGTCTTTATTTTCTAGTACATGTTAATTTCTACTTAACAGAGTTGGAGATTTATTTAATTTGACTGTAGCTTTATTACTGGTGAGTAAAAAGCATGACTTTCTACTTTTTGAGGGAATGTTTTTATTTTCATAGAAACAACTTGAACTGTTTTTGTCTGTATTGCACTTTACCTACTATGTCAATTAAAAATACATTCATCAAAAGTAATGGAAACTTATGTGGCTAACGTATGCACAGATAGAGTTTTTTGGTTCATCTAACTCCAGGGGTAGATCCTCAAGCACAGCTGCATTAGGCCCCTGTTCTTACCATCTCTTGGATGGGCTCTCCCCACAAGGTGAGCATGATGGCAGCCAGCAGCCCAAGGCTCATCCTAGAAAAGAAATGTCAGCAGAGAGGGTGCTGCTTCCTCATTATCTCTTGCAGGCAAGTGCAAACTTGGGTCATGTGCCCATGAAAGAATCACTTTAGTCAAGGGAATGGGATACTGGTTGACTGAATACAACAGGCCCCAGGCCACCATGGAAATGGAAAGAGAAAGAGAAGAGGGCTTTTGTAATGAGGACAGGAAGGCATGTAATGACAAACGATCACATCAGATTCCACTTCTTTTACAGACACAACTTATGATAGTTTTTTTTAACCTTATTTTTTCTGAATGTTGATTATATGAGATATTGTGTGAAAGTAATTGGCACTTAAAAGATTAATTCTGAACCACACCTAGAATTTGGCTTACCTCAGATGATAAAATGAAGGGTTGACTTTTTTAAAAAAACTTTTAATTTTGATATAATTTCACATTTACAGAAAGGTTGTAAGAATTATACACATAACTCCTGCATATCTTTATCCAAATTCATTTATTGTTAACATTTTGTCTCATATACTTTATCATTGGCTCTCTCCCTCTCTTCTCCCCTACCCCCTATGACACTACACACAAACAAACACACACATGTCTTTTTCCTAAGTATTTAAGGTTATTTTATAGACATGCCCTTTTAACCATAAATACTTCAGTACATTTCCCAAGAATGAGGATTTCCTGTTATATAACCACAATACAGTGATCAAAATCAGGAAATTTAACATTGATGTTAAATTGAATATATAGTTCATATTCAAATTTTAATAATTGTCCTAATAATATCTTTTATAGAAATTTGTTTTCTTTTCTTGTACAGAGTAACACATTGCTTTTGTCATATTTCTCGAACCTCCTTTAATCTAGAGCCTCCTCAGTCTTTTTTTATGATCTTGACAGTTTTGAAGAATACAGGCTTGTTATTTTTAGAGTGTCCCTCAGTTTATGTTTGTCTGATATTTCCTCATAATTAGATTCAGTTTACATATTTTTTAGCAGCAATAATTAGGGTATCAGATTGAGAGATTTGTGATGCTGGTTTGACCCAGCATTATTATTGGTGATGTTAACTTTGATTACTTTGAAAGGTTGTATTCACTAAATCAAGCCACTGTAAAGTTACCGTTTTTCTGTTTTAATAAATCACTTGCGAGAGGATACTTTCAGACTGCATAAAAGTGTTCTCTTCCTCCTTAAACTTCCTCCCACTATTTAAGCATCTATTGATGATATTTGGCTGAATCATTTATTACTAAGATGGTTGCCAAATGGTGATTCTTTTAAAACTTCATAATTCCTTCCATATTGATTAGTTGGTATTCTGCTGCAAGAAGAGCTTCCCCTCTCTCACCTGTGTTTGTTTACTTATGTCAGATTAGACTCATAATCTTATTTATTTCTTGAGTCTCCTGTTGCTATCATTTTTTAAATTTTCATGTGAAAATTGTCCCAGATTTGGCCAGTGGAGACCCATCAGGCCAGCTCCAATGAATTTGGGGGGGGGTGTGGTAATGTTTCCTCATTATTTTTTGAGCACTTCTTTGCTGGCACAAAATGTTTCGGGCTCATCTTGTACTTTCTCAATCCCAGTCCCCAAACTATCCTTTTCTCCAAGGACGCCTGTTCTTTTCTTGGTGCTTATTGGTATTTAAAAACCAAGGTGAGAGTGCTAGCAAATATTTCAATGGGGTGTGTTTGCTTCAAAGGCCTCTCAGAGAGCTAAGAAATAGGAATATAAATGTATATTAAAAAATGTACATATCTGGGGTGCCTGGGTGGCTCAATCAGTTGAGTGTCTGACTCTTGCTTCAGCTCAGGTTTCCTAGGGTTCCCAGCTCAGGTTTCTCAGAGTTGTGGTATTGAGCCCTGCGTAGGGTTCCACACTGAGCATGGAGCCTGCTTAACATTCTCTCTCTCTCTCTCTCTCTCTCTCTCTTCCTCCCTCCTTCCCTCTGCTCCTTTCCCCTCACTGACATGTGCACTCTTTCACTCTAAAACAAGACAAAATAAAACAAAAATCCATACGTATCTATAGCTATTGATTTCTTTCTCCTGCGCTTCTTCCCTTCTTTTTCTTCTTTCCTCTCTTTGTTTTCTTTCCTTCCCTTTCCTCTGTTCCTCTTTCCTTCCTTCCTTTCTATACTAAAAATCATAAGTTCATTCTGATGCCACCAATTCAACACCACAGGGTTAATTCTAGTCTTTCTTTTTTCTATACTTGGAAACAGTGAGGGAGGCTGGCTCCTGTTATTCTCAATATATTTACTCACTTGCTCAATTCTACAATACACAGTAGATTGTTTCAGAATGGCTAATCTATAGTACTGCAGAAAACTAGAGTTTAATATTTGTTTACTTTCATTTTTATCTTTATATTGAGTATATAGAGTTAAAGTCCTGTGTTCAAAAGTTACTTGCATTTTCCCTTTGTTTAACTGTTGGTATGTTATTCATTTAGAATATAGTTAAATGTATTATATGTGTTTGTTTTCCATTTAAAGTTTCCTTTCTCCCCCATCTTTGTTGATCTGATTATTTTTTGGATATGTAAAACATTAATATGCATCATTCCACAAAGACAAAACTATATTTAAGAAATATACTCAACAATAAATTACCTAAAAAAAAAAAAAAAAAGAAATATACTCAGAGCAATGTCACTACTCCTCCTCACCCTATCCTATACATCCTGTTTCTGTTTACTCCTTGTAGGTAAACAATTTCTTTAGTTCTGGTTTATCCTTCATCCTTCCTGTTTGTCTTCTGGCAAAAGTAAACAGATAGTTCATATTTTCTCCTTTCACCTTTTGTATTACACAGAGGTAGCATACCATATATTTTCTTTGCATTTTCCCTTTTTTTTTTTTTTAACTCAATAGTATATTAGGATTGACTTTTATCTGGTGAATATGGACAGTAAGTATACTTAGTCTTGATAATTTCTGTTGTCTGAGTGTTTCTCTGAATTTAGATTACTTAATTACACTCAAAGAATAGTTGCTTGGATCTCTATTTCAAATTGGCTTTAATGCTCAACATCGCTCCTCATCAGGGAAATACAAATCAAAACCACACTCAGATGTCACCTCACGCCAGTCAGAGTGGCCAAAATGAACAAATCAGGAGACTATAGATGCTGGTGAGAATGTGGAGTAATGGGAACCCTCTTGCACTGTTGGTGGGAATGCAAATTGGTGCAGCCACTCTGGAAAACAGTGTGGAGGTTCCTCAAAAAATTAAAAATAGACCTACCCTATGACCCAGCAATAGCACTGCTAGGAATTTACCCAAGGGATACAGGAGTACTGATGCATAGGGGCACTTGTACCCCAATGTTTATAGCAGCACTCTCAACAATAGTCAAATTGTGGAAAGAGGCTAAATGTCCATCAACTGATGAATGGATAAAGAAATTGTGGTTTATATACACAATGGAGTACTATGTGGCAATGAGAAAGAATGAAATACAGCCCTTTGTAGCAATGTGGATGGAACTGGAGAGTGTGATGCTAAGTGAAATAAGCCATACAGAGAAAGACAGATAACCATATGTTTTCACTCTTATGTGGATCCTGAGAAACTTAACAGAAACCCATGGGGGAGGGGAAGGAAAAAAAAAGAGGTTAGAGTGGGAGAGAGCCAAAGCATAAGAGACTGTTAAAAACTGAGAACAAACTGAGGGTTGATGGGGCATGGGAGGGAGGGGAGGGTGGGTGATGGGTATTGAGGAGGGCACATTTTGGGATGAGCACTGGATGTTGTATGGAAACCAATTTGACAATAAATTTCATATATTGAAAAAAATTTTTTTTTAAAATAAAAAAATCAAATTGGCTTTAGATAGAACACTCTATGATAGGGAAAAAAATTAAAAATGTAATTTAAAAGATAAATTTGCAAAATTTATTTAAATATATAAATATAACTATATTATGACTTATGAGAAACTAACATTTCATTTTTTTAAGGTTTACTGTATAAAAAAAAAACAAATAACATAACATGCCACAACTAGATGTGGGAAGAAAAGAGAACCAAAGCAGAGTAGTTGAGTATTTTCTTCTAAGCCAGGATGAGGAATATTTGGGGTCTTATGAAAGAGAGGGAAAAGTATGGTAGATCAAAGAAAAGAAATAGAAGGATAAGATAGAAAGGATCATCCATAAATGAAAAAGAAATCTTCAAAAAAGAATAAAGTAGATGCCAATGGGAGGTGGTCAAGGGGTTTTCTGCCAGATAAACACTTGAGGTCATTTTATATATCAGTGCTATATTCTTTGTTATATGATACTTAAAAAAATATTATTCTGGTTAAAAAACCATATAACGTGAGATGTACCCTGTTAACAAATTTTTAAATATACAGTGTGGTATTGTTAACTATAAGCACAATACTGTACAGCAGATCTCTAGGACTTTTTCATTTTGTATGATGTTAACCCAGTTCTTAAAAAAATTCTTTTTTTCAAAATTTAATTTATTGCTCAGGAGATTCTCTTTTCTAGTTGCCACCAACTTTCTCCCCCAATGTTGGCAGAGAAGGTAGTGTTTTTGAGTTTGCTCTTCACTCTTTCAGTGTTCCCTCCCCCTCAGCCTCTCTCTCTTCTTTGTAGTGGTAACATTCCAAAAGAGATCCCTGAAATTCGCCAGCAGGTCCTGAAATACAGAAGGCAGACTTTTGCCAAGCATTTTATCTTACCAGTAATTCTCTCCCAACATTACTACTTCTTTTTGAATATTTCATGCAGCTGTATACTACTTTTTAGAAGATCTATTTCTATAACAATGTGTTAAAAGATTTACATTTAAAAATAATTGAATTATGTAAAATAGATTTGGGGAGCTGCCATGTAAAGGAATTCTGGTATAAAATCTTTTGTAAAGCTGTTAAACACTTCTTTAATTATATTTACAGAAAGATAATTTTTTTCTTATTTTTAAAATATTTTAAAAGTTTTTAATTTATTTTGAGAGGGAGGGAGAGAGAGAGAGAGAGAGAGAGAGAGAGAGCGAATGAGAGCGAGCATGAGCAGGGGAGGGGCAGAGAGAGGGAGGGAGAGAACACCAAGCAGGTTCTGCACTGTGAGTGCAGAGCCTGATGTGGGACTTGAACTCACGAACTGTGAGATCATGACCTGAGCAGAAATAGAGAAGTCAGATGTTTAACCAACTGAGCCACTCAGACCCCCCAACAAAAGATGATTTTTTAATACATTGTATTAGTTATCTTGAAGTAATTCCCATATTTTTTTACTAATTTGTCCATTTAAAAATCTCACTTGAAAAAGAATTTGTGTGTTCATTTCTTTTTATCATAAGTTGGTGGTTGGTTACAGATCTCTGTGGCTTTTTGCAACCGTCTGCCAAATCATTTCTTCTATTAAGCAGTCTGCAAAAGTGCTCATGTATCCTTTTTCCTAACAGCCTATTCCAAGCTCTCTCATGTTTCCATGGACATTTCCTAAGGCATTTCTAACTTTAAGAAATGTGTTTTATATAATTTTAATGTTTCCTCTGTTCTTTTTCTCTTTTATAACATTTCCTTCTTTTTAAAAAGTTTATTTTTTATTTAATGAACAAAAGGTTAATTTTATACCTCAGGATATAAATATCCAAGTTTGTTATCCAAATCCATTTTTTGTTCAATAAATCAGTAAATGAATCATATTGATTATACTCTCTTCTCAACCCTACCCCTAGCAAATAATTGGGAATAAATTGATCTCTAGTTTGGTCTTGCATTTTAAAAAGATTATAGAAAAGTTAGAGAGCAGAACCAAAATAGTTAAATGGATAATTAGGAGTTTAAAAATACAGTATTTAATATGTGGGTGCATCTGGCTGGCCCAATGAGTAGAGCTTGTCACTCTTGATCTCAGGGTCCTGGGTTCAAGCCCCATGTTGGGCATGGAGCCTACTTAAACATTTTTTTTAAATTAAAAAAAATAAAAATATTTTATATATATAATTTTATATTTATGCTTTATTCTGGGTATGCTATTCAAGCAATTTGTAACCAGACAAAATATTAAGGCCAAAGGTTTATTGAGCGCCAAATCTATGCAAATCTAGAGCTGACCCTAGTTGTCCCAGTGTACGTCTTCTGTAAGGTCATAGGAAGCAAGAATAATTTTTAGCACTTGTCAGAAAGTCCGTATTAGGTATTTTAGGATAAGAAATATCAACGAGGGTACCTGGATGGTTCAGTTGGTTAAGCATCTGACTCTTGATATTGGTTCAGGTCTGCTTGGGATTCTCTCTCTCCCTCTCTCTCTCTCTCTCTCTCTCTGCCCCTCCTTTCCCCTCTCTCAAAATAAATAAATAAATAAATAAATAAACAAACTTTATAAAATATCAACGATCTAAATACATAAAAATTTTTCAAATATGGAATGGATTGAAAGGAAATTTCTGGATCCTTCATTTCTGGTTTAAGAGTTATTTGGTTAATCTCTTTGGTGATGGATTCATTCATTATATGCAACAGTTGTTTAGTATGTGGATATTCTGTGCTAGGCAGTAAGCTAACTTTTAGTGAGAACAGACCTGGGTAAAGTAAACAATGGCCACAGAAGTAGCTTTCCACTTTGTCATCTTTACAGTTTTCCTCTTTTGAGGCTTTCCCCCCTTGCATATTCTCTGTAAAGCAATACATTAAAAAGTAAATCCCATATAATTTTGAGTTAGTTCATGAAGAGAATAATGACAGTTGAATTCAAAGTATTTTTATTACATTGAAAAATGTATAGGGAAAAGTAGATGCTGCTAGTGGGTAGTTAGATGAAGGAAAACGGTAGCTTATTGTTAAGGTCCTAGAAAATGAATGATGAGAAAAGAAAGCTATCGGATGGAATGACAAAAAAAAGATGCCAGTCTTTTTTTTTTTTTTAAGTTAGGAGATGGTTACTGAATTAGTTAAGCTTAACAAATGCTGATTATGTAAATGTATTTTTGCAAATAAAAATATGACTAAAATATGGCCTTCTGCCCTGATATGAATCACAGCCCAATAAAAACTGCAACAGAGCTGCAAATAATGTGTGTAAAAAAGAGGGAATGACTTTGTTGGTAAGAATGGGTATGTGGTTAGTGAAATAACCACAGGGTGCTAGGTGTTAAATGTTTCAAAGTCATCTGTATGAGACTTTTCCAGAGAAATGTTTTAAAGCCATCTTATGCAGCTTAGATATATTTTTAATGAATGGTTAATATTAAGCCAGATTCTTGAAAAGCCTTAAACTAAAAGTAAATTCAAACAAAATAAATTTTTGCAAGCAAAATTTGATTAGATAGCCACATTGATTCTTTGCGAAAAATATATTTTTTGATTTGGGGGAAGTTTCTAATTTCACTGTACTTGATTATATTATTATGAGCTATGTATTACTAGATTTCATGATTATTCAAAACCACACTGATCTTTTCTCAGCTTTCGGTAGTAGTTATTTGTACAGTTGATGTATCCCCTTGACATCTCTTAGATAGTTTGCTTATGTCCTTTAAAGTTGTCAGTTTTTACTTTTTGCCTGTATATGTGTGAACTTTTTGAGGACAGCAACCAAGTAGCCTGCTCCTTTTTGTCTACCTACTGCCTGGCACAGTGTAAAATCATATAAAGCAAGTATTTTGAAATTTGGAATTATCAATTATTAAATTAGTTAACAACAAGACCATTAAACAGAGATGGCCCTAATGCCTTTGGCTGGCCTGAGCAAACCAAAATCTGTCTGTAAACACTTTAAAGTTTTGAAATTGAAACCAAAGCACAACCAGTCATAAACAGCCAACTAGGCCTTAGGCTATAGCCAATCAATAATTTCTGTACTTTGCTTCTACCTTTTCCTTATAAAAGTCTTTCCCTGAGCTCCTGTTGGTGAAATACTCTTAACCACTTTTGGTTTAAGTGCTGCCCAATTAGAATAGATTTTTGCTCAAATGAACTCTTAAAATTTTTTGTTATGCCTCAGTTTATTGTTTAACACCATTTAACTGTCCTGGTTCCTGTCCTCTACACCTTTACCAGCTTTTTGGTATCTTGCAAACAACAACAATGACAACAACAACAACAAAGACTGCAAAACCCTGCTGAATTAGAAGGCTTTCTTGACATTTCTCTTGGCCCCCTTTGGCCATATCCCAGTGAAGTTTTCTTGTCCCTCTAATCTATCATAATAGCATCATGTACATATTTCTATTACACCACTTGTTTCAAGATTTTCTAATTTTGTTTTCAGGCTTGTTTACCAATAGATTTGTTTGTTCCTTGAAAGTAGGAACAATTGGGGTGCCTGGGTGGTTCAGTCGGTTAAGAGTCGGACTCTTGATTTTGGCTTAAGGTCATGATCTTGTAATTCGTGAGTTCGAGTCTCATATAGAGCTCTGTGCTGACAGTGCAGAACCTGCTTGGGGTTCTTTGTCTCCCTCTCTCTCTGCCTCTCTCTCTCTCTCTCTCTCTCTCTCAAAAATAAATAAATAAACATTAAAAAAAGACAGTAGGAACAAGTATTTGAGTAGGAATATTATTTGTCTTTATGTCTCCGGTGCCTAGCACTATGCTAATCTAGCAGTAGGTACTCAACAGATATTTGCTGATTGAGAAAATCCAAATAGATTTCTCAAGTATAATTTCTTTTAGGTAAATTTCATCTGATTTCTAAGTTAGGAAGAGTGGAAAAAAGTGTAGAAGCTCACTGTGGAGCAGTTCTTGCAGGAAGATGGAATTATGAAGGAACAGCATTAGTTACAGGTAAGTTGTCTGCAAAAATGACATTTTAAACGAATTTTTTAAAGGAAAATTTTCTTTGAATCATATTTTCTTTAGTAATAGTGTCTTTCATTGTTTAAGAGCAGATAATTGGCAAAGCATTGAACTAACCTGCTAGATAATGTTATAATTCAGAATGTCATATTAATAATATATGATTTATGGAGAATATTCTGTCAAGACTTTTGAAATGGTCAGTTATGAGATAAATAAAAGTTGTAATTCTTTAAAATTTTAAAATTCAAAATATTCTTATTGAACTGACCTTTACCCCCATTCCATCTCTCTCCCATCTCCTGCTTTACTGCAAGTATTCTCATCTTTGTCTATGGTATTAGTTATCTATTGTCGCCTAACAAATTACCCCAAAAGGTAATGGCTTAAGACAGTAAACATGTAGTATCTTACAATTTCTGTGGGACAAGGAAGATTTAATTTGGTTGGGTAGTTCTGTCTCAGACTCATGTTGTTGGATAGGGCTTTAATAATGTGAAGGCTTGATTGGGGCTGCTTCCAAGATGGCTCACTCACATGCTCTTGGCAAGAGGCCTTAGTTCCTCTCTGACTGTTGGCAGCAGGCCTTACTTCCTCGCCACACGGTCTTCTCCGTAGGGCTGCTTGAGTGTTGTAACAACATGACAGCAGGCTTCATAAGTAAGTGATCCAAGAGAGAGCAAGATAGAAGACACAATATATTTTTTGGACCACCCTTGGAAGTCATTCTCTATCATTTCTACCACATTCTATGAGAAGAAAGTCACTAAGTATAGCTCACTGTAAAGAAGAGAGAAATTAAGCTCCACCTATTAAAAGGAGGAGTAACAAAGAGTTTGTGAATACATAGTAAAACCACCAACCTATTCCCTGGGCTTTCTTTTAGGACTTTTTTCAGTGAGTTGTTCCTTCTCTTGCCTATTTTTTCAACTTGTCCTTTTCCAGGGGTTTCTTTTTCAGCATATAAATCCATCTTGAAAATGAGAATAATGAAATAATCCTGCCTTTAACAAATAATTCTCTCTAGATACAACTTCCTCTTTTTTCTTTTAGGCAAGCTGTTCAAAAGAGAAGGCTACTACTTCACTCCATTCTGTCCCTACTTCACTGGAATTTGCCTGCAACTCTTCTTTTGCACTGAAGGCACTTTTCTTAGAATTGTAGGGTGGAGATTTCAGTGAAAATGAAAGTATTATTTGAATAATATTTTCATAAGTCTTCTAAGATTAAAGGAAAAAATAAAAATTTTGGGCATGGAAGTTGGGCTTACTCTGATAAAATTGTTTCAGAGTAACTTCAATTAAATTTTATAGTTATGAAGCACTGTCATTTAATGAGTAAATTGTATCCGAATTTTAAATATGTGTTAATATGATATATTGATTTTTATATGCACATTTAATGTTTAAATTTGTTTTCTATAGATGAAAATATCAATTATTATTCTCTCTTTATAGCTGGAGAAGATGGACAAATAAAAATCTGGTCAAAGACTGGGATGCTAAGATCAACTTTAGCTCAGCAAGGTACATATAATAATCAATTAAGATGTCTTAACAGTTTCTTTTAAAACCAGACTATTATAGTTCTTAAGACAGATTTAGGTTGGGTTCAAAACCTGAAATCTCTTATTTCTGTTTACACTTTTTCCTCTTATTTTCCATGTTGCCTGATAGGCCATGATAACTGTATTATTTGAGCCAAGAAATAGAAGAAACACTCAAGGGCTTTTTCTTTTCTTTAAAAAAATTTTTTTTAATGTTTACTTATTTTTGAGAGAGGGAGAGAGAGTGAGATAAAGCACGAGTGGGGGAGGGGCAGAGAGAGGGAGACAAAGAATCCAGAGGCAGGCTCCAGGGCTTGAACTCATGGACCGTGAGGTCATGACCTGAGCTGAAGTCGGATGCTTAACCGACTGAGCCACCCTGGTGCCCTAGCTTTTTTAGTCAATCTATATAAATGCAGTTAAAGGCTAATGATTCTTTTAAAAATAATTCTGAGGCCTTATGAGCATATACTACCTGGAATAGGATTGGGTGTCTATTTAAGTAAATAATAGTAATAGAAAACATTGAAAGTATCTCCGTACTTAAAAAGTCCTAATAAGCTCATAATATTATCATCCTTTCTAAATTGTACTCTACATTTGGTGTCTACTCATGGAAGGGAGCAGATACCTTGAAGATTCAAAACTTGGTAAACTACAAGTACTTAGAGCAACATCTTAGTTTTCTGTGTTAATTGGAAAGAAGTGCCCATGAAATCAATCCAGTGGTCATTCCCGTTGGGATTTTGTGTGTGCGTGTGTGTGTGTGTGTGTGTGTGTGTGTGCGCGCGTGCATGTAGCAGATTTATTTTCCTAATTAGATTTTATCTAGTAATAGTAAAGCAGTTTTAATGTTGATCTGAACACATATCAGCTGATCTTTAGAGACAGGTTGTAGATAATTCTTTAGAATTATATGATAAAGTCATATTGTGAGGTATCTCCAGTTAATGACTTCCAAAAATTTCCAGATTTATTTTTTTAAGTCATGTGTACTCTTAGAATAGTGTTAAAATAGTTACATTTCCTTAGCTGCACATTAACCAAATTTTAGCAAAGGGCCACCATAAATAATAGGTAGTAGTTATTTAGGTAATCATAAATACTAGGTAATGGTTATCTCCTGAGGTTAAATATTTGCTACAGATAATCTCCAAATAGAATATTTATCCATGAATAGAAAATTCAGAGTTCATAGAAACATATATGGGTGAATTTTAGTTAGGAAAAAATGTCAATCCATTCTTACTTTAGCAATAAAATGTACCTCTAGAAAATAAATTTTATTTAGATTTTTTTAGTAAGAATGGGGATTTATTTTTGGCTTTATAATTTTTGTTAGGGCTAATTATTTGGCATTCTCACTATATGATGTCTGACTTATAAGCAACTGACAGAATTCTTCTAGAAATTATTGCCCCCTTGGAGCTGGGGCTATGGTTCTTTTCAGCTGTTGCTGCTGCTGAGACACGTCCTTTTTTCTTTTCTCTTTTATTAAATTTGTTGTTTACAGAAGCCACAGATCTTTAGAGAAATTCCAGAAGTTTCTTTCACTACCCATTATAGCAACTGGAATTCTTGTCTAAGACCCTTCTTCACTAGTAGCCCTGTAAGGTTACTTATTTGTTTTCTTAAATTCTTCCCAATCATCTCCTGCCCTTCTACTGCCCTTGCATTTACCATTTTGGACTTTCTGAAGTCTAAAGTTGAAAGTTAGAATATGTTTTTTAATATAAACAATGTTAATCATGGAGGATAGTTGACATAGTATTATTAGTTCGGTACGATGGTTTACCTGTGTAATGGGTCTGGAAACCAAATTGCCTCTTATTTTACTTTTATGGAGAAATATATTCAGAGTTCCCAAATTTGCAATGTCAATTTGGAAGCGTAATATGTTTATAAATTAAGGGTGTTTTATAAATCTGAGGTCACAAACAGGTGGTCTATGGGCTGAATCTGGCACACTAGAATGGTACAGGATCGATATTAAAATCAGGACATTTCACATACAAATTTGGTCTTCTGTCTTGAATTCATGAAGATTTACATCTATATTTTCTTCTAAGAGTTTTATACTTTTCGTGTTTATATTTAGGTCTATGATCCATTCTTTTTTTTTTTTTAATTTTTTTTTCAACGTTTTTATTTATTTTTGGGACAGAGAGAGACAGAGCATGAACGGGGGAGGGGCAGAGAGAGAGGGAGACACAGAATCGGAAACAGGCTCCAGGCTCTGAGCCATCAGCCCAGAGCCCGATGCGGGGCTCGAACTCACGGACCGCGAGATCGTGACCTGGCTGAAGCCGGACGCTTAACCGACTGCGCCACCCGGGCGCCCCAATGATCCATTCTGAGTTAGTTTTTGTGTATGATATTTATTTTAGAGAGGGATGGGTAGTACTCCTTTTTTTTTTCTTCCTCCAAATAGATGGGTAAATAGATTCTCTTAAAAGCTAAAATACTGCTTAGGTCATATAATATAGTATTTATTATATATTCATATAAATAGTGTATAGTATAGTATTTATTATATAGTCATCATATCATGTAATATATTTTCCATTGACATTCCAAATAGCTATAATTTTCTTTCTTTTTTTCTTTCTTTCTTTCTTTCTTTCTTTCTTTCTTTCTTTCTTTCTTTAAATATTTTCATTTATTTTTTTTTAATCTTTTTTTAACGTTTATTTATTTTTTTGGGACAGAGAGAGACAGAGCATGAACGGGGGAGGGGCAGAGAGAGAGAGGGAGACACAGAATCGGAAACAGGCTCCAGGCTCTGAGCCATCAGCCCAGAGCCCGACGCGGGGCTCGAACTCGCGGACCGCGAGATCGTGACCTGGCTGAAGTCGGACGCTTAACCGACTGCGCCACCCAGGCGCCCCTGTTTTCATTTATTTTTGAGACAGAGAGAGACGGTGCATGAGCAGGGGAGGGGCAGAGAGAGACAGGAGATAAAGAATCTGAAGCAGGCTCCAGGCTCCGAGCTGTCAGCACAGAGCCTGGACACGGGGCTTGAACCCACAGACTGTGAGATCATGACCTGAGCCGAAGTCAGACGCTTAACCAACTGAGCCACCCAGGCGCCCCAGCTATAATTTTCTTAACATCAAATGGCTGTGAAAGGGCTCATCATTTTTATCTTATTTGAATCTTATTTATTTTCCTCACTCAAGGTTTATATTAATTATGAGGTTAATTAGCAAAAATAAATTATATAGATTTTCTTATTTTGGTTAACTTATTGGTATTTCAACTGAATAATCATATCTTTTTTTTAGATTAAGAATTACAGATTTACTGTAGAACTATGCATCTAATTTTTGAGTTTTTGATCATTGGTGCCACCCACACTTTCCTAATAAGGCATAGACTTTTCCCACTTTATCTCTGGGAAAAATCATTGGAAAAATTAAGTTATAACAACATTGAAGGAAAAATATCAGGTTACTTATAAGGTATATTTGATTTATTAGAGATTACAAGTTTTGAGGGTGATTATAAACCTGAACTATGAACTACTGAGAGCTGGATGCTGAAGGCACGAGTAAGGAGGCCAAAGTAGGTGGGGTCAGGGACTCCAGCCTCCTTTTAGGATAAAAACTGGAAATTTTGGTACGAAAATGAAATAACACAAACCTGAGTTATCATAAAACTTGGAATTCAGCAAACAATGTTGAAAGCATCTTTGTGAATTTTACTACATGTTTATGTTAATTGTATTTATTTTTGATGAATAGAAAAAATTCTGAATTCATTTCTTAATGACTGGAGCCAGATGTACCTATAGAAAAAGTCGTAGTCATCACCTTTTTCTCTAATACAGAAAAAGCATTAATTCTAAAGGTTTTTTTTTTTTTTTTTTTTTGAAAAATTTGACTTAGTTTAGAAACAATTCTTACTGGTACCTATGAGGAGTCATTTTTCCTTATTAGAGAAAAATAATGTATGGGCCAATGATAATTATAATTAAACCATATCTTGTGTTACATTGTATATTTTAATTATAGGCTAAAATTGGAATAGAGTAATACTGCACACCTTTGAGGACATTCCTCCTATATTATATTCAACGTTTATTTATTTTTGGGACAGAGAGAGACAGAGCATGAACAGGGGAGGGGCAGAAACAGAGGGAGACACAGAATTGGAAACAGGCTCCAGGCTCTGAGCCATCAGCCCAGAGCCCGACGCGGGGCTCGAACTCGCGGGGCTCGAACTCACGGACCGCGAGATCGTGACCTGGCTGAAGTCGGACGCTTAACCGACTGCGCCACCCAGGCGCCCCCTCCTATATTATATTCAAATGGAAGAATGGAATGACAAAAATGGAATCTATCGACAATGAATTTAGTACAGGAGGTAAACTGGAAATATAAATAACTGTTACACAATGCAGGATGCTGTGAGAGGACAGGAAGACAGAGATGAATGCTTTGGGGAGGAAAGAAAGTATCAGAAAGGCTTCCTGGCAAATATTCCTGGAATATCTTAAAAAACATTTTTTTTTCCAATGTTTAGTTTTTTTTATTTTGAGAGAGAGAGAGAGAGAGAGAGAGAGAGCAAGCAGGGGAGGGGCAGACAGAGAGGGAGGGAGAGAATCCCAAGCAGGCTCCACGCTGTCAGTGTGGAGCCCAACGTGGGGCTCAAACTCACAAACTGTGAGATCATGACCTGAGCAGAAACCAAGTGTGGGACGCTTAACCAACTGAGCCACCCAGGTGCCCCTCCGCTTTTTTTAAAGTAGGCTTCACGTTAAGTGTGGAACCCAATGCAGAGCTTGAACTCACAACCCTGAGATCAAGACCTGAGCTATCAAGAGTTGGACACTTAACTGACTGAGTCACACAGGCGCCTCTAGAATATATTTTGATTGGGCTTTGAAGGATGAATAAATTAGGGAAGTAAATGGGCTTGTTGGCAATGGAGTGGGGCTGATTTGCCCTAGTGGCCCTCAGAGATGCTCAATTTCTTGTC